AGAATTTGCTCACTTGAAGGATGGCGAACTGCGGGTGATATCGCCCTGTGGCCGATCAGCTCCACAGAATCCCACTATACATGAGCAACGCAGCCGGCGCAGAAAAAAGAATTGCGCCGGGCGGACGGCAGGCGGCCAACGCGGGGTAGTCCTGTTACGAAAGCGTCCGCTGCAGTCGTTTTGCGTTCCCAAGCGACAGAATTTGGCAGCGGCTCAAACTTCGACATGGAGATCCCCATGCGCGCCGCCGCCAAAAGCCGCTGGCACCCACAGTCTTCTCCAAACTCGACGCCGCGGACGACAACAGATGGCTTGCAGCACGCCGCGTGCGTATGCTTCCCGCCCTTTCGGAGTTTCGGCCGCGAAAGCTGATGACACCGCGCGCGCGACGCGACAAAAAGGAAACCATCACGCAAGTTCGCGCGCCGCGAGGGCGAGGAAGCACCCCAGATCGGCGCCCGCCGCCACCGATTCGGCAGAAGCCTTTGCGCGGGGAAAGCCCCAAGGAACCGGCGGCGCTGAGTCGCCATGCCCCTCTTGAAACAAGGGGAAGGCTTCCGAGCGAGTGACCTGCCGGCCGGTCGCGCGGGCCGGACGCCGTTGCGATCTGACGGGGAGAGCGTTCTGGCCGCCCGCGCCCGTGCTGCCGCGGGGTCCCGGCAGGCCCCGCGGCGGGCTCATTTTCGGCGCGGGCCCTTTTTCACGGTGGCGGCCGGCGCGCCGGCCACAGAAGCGATTCTAAAAAGTTTAAAAAAAAAGCGGGCTGTGTCGCCCGGGCTGGTGCCCGCTACGGGGCGAAGCCGCGGGCGAACGGCGCGCAGGGCACGACGCAGCCCGGCGCTTCCAATTGGCGATGGGGAAATGAATAGAAGGCAGCGCCGTGTGGCGGGGGAGGCCAACCGAGCGCGGACGTGTGAACGCTTGCCGTCCTCGGCGAGCGAGCGCGCATGGCGGTGCGTGCTCCGCTTGGCAGCTATTACTGGGGGAGAAATCAGCAACAAATTCGCTTTGGCTGTCATGCATTCTTGAGGGATAAAAGAGCAAGAAAAAACGAAAACAAAAAAAAGTGAGAGAATAGCGTGCGCGCGGCTGCGCGAGACAAGGGAGTTTAATTTACGAATTATACGAGTAAAGACTGGTACAGCAGAAAAAGTGATCTTTTGCTCACAAGATCGAGATCTTTTGTCATGTCCCCTTGAAGCCTACAAGCCGTCGCAGCGTGGGAGGCCGGATGACTCCTCCCGCGCATTGCTGAGTAGCTGCCGTGATGCCTCGACTATCCCTCGGAACCTCTCCGAGGTCTCATAAATGACTTTGTCGAGCATAGACTTTGCCCCTGTTTTCTGCTTGAGACTCTCCTCGATAGCGACCAAGCGGGCGTTCAACGCCTTCAGTTCGGCAAGCACGCGATTTCGCTCCTCCTCATCGCATCTTATGCTTTGTTCAATCTCTGTCCGTCTCTCCTTTAATTCCTCTATGACGGACACGAGTTCATTACTTGTTGCCTGCACATCCGAGCCTAAAGAAGCCATGTGACTTAGCAACAAGAAGCAAAGACACTTATTTTTTTTGTTTTTTTTTGTTTTTAAAGAAGAGGAGCAGCAGTCTTGGTTCAACGCCGCAGTCACAGCGGATGCGACGACCTCCGCAGTACATCAAGGGCGATCAATTTGCAGGCTTTACGACGCCACAACGAAGTAGAGAAAGGGAAGGAGGAAAATACACGTGCAGAATAGCCACTTCGGCCTTAGCCACACGGTACGGGCAGAGTCGCACCACCGGCGCCCATCCCGTCCCGACTGCCTCACGCGCGCAAAATTGAGTTACCAAGGAAGTCGGCACGGCAAGTGGCAGTGACAAACAGGCGTGGAAAGGCGGATGCGGCGACAACAGGAGAGTTCAAAGCTGACCCCACGCCGTCGGCACGCGGTCTCCGGAGTCTCGGCGCAGGCGGAGGTTAAACGCCGTGAGGTGCAATCGCTATTGCCCCCCCCCCCCCCACTGAAGGAGGAGGAAACAAACTCGCAGACGAATCCCCGTCGCATCGCAGTGATGCCCAAAACGGCCACCCCTTCACTTCTTCTCCCCTCCATTGCTTGGCGTCATCCACACAGAACTGAAGATGCCGTGCAACAGAAGCCAAGCGGGGCTCGGCGCGGCAAGTATTACCCTGTTGTGCCTGTGTTGCCGCGTCATGCGCCAACCCCCGCTTCCACGGCCGATGACGAGGGAGTGCTTACTCATTGCAGTGCATACCGTGACGTCAGGAGAGTAAAAGAAAGATCAAGGAAAAGGCAAAAGCGTAAGGGCCTTACCAGCCATGCCCAATATACAGCGGGATATATAAGCAGTGCACCAAGGGAGTGAAGGAAGAACCTTTTGTTCTTTTCCTTCGATTAAGTGAAAAACAAAAAAAAAGCGGGTATAGAAAAGGAGAGGGCAGCCACCCGCACACACGCGGGGGCACCATTTCCCGCATGTTTTTCACTTTTCTTTCACCAGCTAGACTCTCATTCATTTTTCTTTTTCTTTTACTCCGCGTCTATTTCTTCTTCACGGAAGCTCCAGTGGCGTCAGCAAAAGATATGGGTTGTGGGCGAGGCGCACCACTTGCCTTGATCGCAGCGGCTACACGGCGCAAAAGCTCCTGCTTACTGCCTATGTCCTGCACCGTCACGCCTCGTGTGTGTGTGTCGAAATCACTCATGCGGATGTAGTGCTCTGACTGTGGTCGCTTGATCGCCACCCTCACACACCCCTTGGGGACGACGGCGTACTTCCGTGACGCCTGCGAGCGTGGCAGCGAGAGGCCCCGTTCAATAAAGAAGTCCTGGTAACCCAATTTCCGCAGGACCGCTGCAATTTCCTCCAGCTGCGGGTTCTCCACGGACTGCGTCTTCGTCAGACGTCGTCCCTCACCCGGGGTAAGATTGGCATCTAGATACTGTGGAAATATTGTCTGGTACGCCAGTTTATTGTGCGAATCCGATGACGGTTGCATTGCTATCCTCTCCCCGTGGGTAACTCTACCGCGGCTTTAGTACGTTCTGACATAAGAAGTAGAAGAAGAAAACTCTTTCAAGGGAATTAAGCGGGAGCGTAAGACAGCCATGCCAGGTCTAAAGGCAACTCCACCACAAAAGCAGAAACGGAGGAAAAAACGAACAGAACAATATAAAAACAACAACAACGAAGGAACCATCCACCGCCGCTATTCGTAACGGGGTCTATGAGAGAGCCTAGAAAAGTACGGAATTAGTCGCATGAATTACAGAATTTCATGTTCAGGGGCGTATTTATTAAGCGTGCATTGCGTTCGGCGGCCTCACCCATCTGTAAGTACATTTTTCGGCTTCCACTCAAACACACAGATACGGGTCTAACACTTCCTTTCGGGCCAAGCCTGCCAATGCGTACTTTCGGAAGAAGCAGACCCTTCTCATCTCCACTTTCAGCAGCGCAAAAAAAAAATATATATATAGGCTAGGAAACACCTATTTTTCTTTTTTTGTTTTGTTTTGTGTCTACAGCGTCACCTCTTTTGGCTACCATCACGCACTGGCTCGGTTTATTGTTCCAAAAAAACACATGGAAAACATCAACTTAGTTTCTTTGTTATAAGTTTCTCCCTTTATTTTTTATTTTCTGCCTCCTCTGCTAACGGCTTCGCTTATCGATCATATACATGCATGCACATGCACCTATATATTAATGATATACTTAGTTTGTACGTGCTGCCTTTACACATCAAAGGGCTCCCCACCCCACTGCCCCAAAGAAAAGAATCAAGCGTCTCTTTCCACCTTTTGTTGCTTTGATTTTTATTGTTAAATCAATCTTAAGTTTTCACGTACACGCTTTGCACCATCGCTGCTTCTGCGCCTCTCCTGTCTCGTCCTTCCTCCCAAGCTGACCCCCCTCTCCTTCGCCCCACTCGCCTTGGGTGCGAGCGAGCGAGCGGGCAAGACAAAGAGGGCACGCAGCTTCTTCCTGCAGCCACGCCTCAGCTGACGTAGACAATGCGGGTTTGGTTCGGGTACCCCTTCACCTTGTGGTCCGCGTGCACCACCACCGCGAGGTCGCCCGGTACAACGTAGCCCCGCTTCTTTGCGTACTCAACGCCAAGCTGCACCCGCTTCTCTTTGCTCTCGTCGTCGCCGTGGCGCTCGGCGTCGTAAAACACGGGCTCCACGGACCGCGTGATGGTGAGCTGACGGCACGTCCGCATGCGCGTCGTGGCGCAGACGATTGGGCAGTTGGGGCGGTACTTGCTTGCAAGTCGCGCGCTGCGGCCCGAGTTGCTCAGCACCAGCAACACCTTTGCCCGGACCTCGTAGACAGAATTCACGGCACTGCTGCACACGGCCTCCTCCGGGGACATGGGAATCGTTTGCATCTTCTTGATGCTGTTGAACGTCACAGCCTGGTTTGTGGCACTTTGGGCCTCCAGACAAATACGGGCCATGCACTGCACCACATCATTCGGATACTTTCCTTTGGCTGTCTCTCCAGAGAGCATTACACAGTCCACACCATTGAAAACCGCATTGGCAACGTCTGAGACCTCCGCACGCGTCGGACGAGGATTGGTTGTCATGCTCTCAAGCATCTGCGTCGCGCAAATGACGGGTTTACCCGCCACGTTGCATTTGCTGATAAGAATCATCTGCGCCACGACAACCTTTTCCGCCGCGATCTCCACACCGAGGTCACCGCGCGCCACCATAATACCGTCGCTGGCTGCAATGATTGCATCAATGTTTTGCACGCCCTGATGGTTTTCAATCTTGGAGACAACGAGTATGTCCTTGCCCTTTTCTCCAAGCGCCACACGCACCTCACGCACCTGTTCCGCCGTGCGTATAAAGGAAGCAAAAATTATATCGACGCCTTGCTCCACGCCAAACTTCAGGTCCGCACGGTCCTTTTCCGACACTGCCGGCAAATCCACTTCACAGCCAGGCAAATTGCACCCCTTGCGATCTGTCAAATAGTGTGCGTTGTTCACATAGCACTTTAATGTGCAGTCGTCCTCCTTGCTTAACACCTTGAGGCTCAACACACCGTCGTCGATGTAAATAAAGCCACCCGGGCGCACCGTTGTGGCGAGGTGGGGGTAGTCCACGTAGAACTTTTCCTTCGTCCCAATCTTCTCAAATGCGGGGTCAGACGTCAGGAGCACGGTATCGCCCGGCGAAAGAGAGATCCCGCCACCCTCGAAGAGGCCGGTACGAATCTCTGGCCCCTTCGTATCCAGCGCAATGCCAATGTGTACTCCAAGTTCGGCTGCAGCAGCACGCACGTTGTTAATCGTTGTTTGGTGGTATTCATGGCTGCCGTGTGAGAAGTTCATGCGCGCAACGGACATTCCGCTTGTTATAAGGCCCTTCAGTGCCTCAACGCTCTGCGTGCTGGGGCCAATCGTGCATATGATGCGGTTGGCACGAGTATGCGCGACTGGCTCAAAAATGGAGAGCTGAACGTTGTGTGCAAGCTGCGACATAGGAACCGGCAAACGTATTTCTTTCAGTTCTTTTTTTCCTTTCTTTTTTTTCGTTGCGTTCGCTGACAAACAAGCCGAATCGCTCCACTTGACTTTCAATGGGCCTTTACTTCTTGCGGAACACAATCAAGACAAAGCAAAAAACGGCAACGGAAAAGAACAGGTGTTAACAACAGGTGTACAAAAGCAAAGAATAATACAAGCGTTTTTTTTTTTCTATCCCTCGTTTCTTTCTTTTCATTTTCCCTCTCCGCGTATATATATGTGTGTGTGTGTTTGTGTTTGTGTGTGTGTCCGTTTATCCGCAGAAGAGGTGGGACAACTCTCCCTCCCAAAGCCCCACACAATGAAAATGGGACGCACCTTTTCCTTTTGCTACTTGCTTCTCTTCTAGGCGAGGGATCGCTTCCTTTCTTTCAGCTTCATGTATGAGTGGGGTACGCATGCCGACATGCCACAGTATACGTATTTTTCGCCTTCTTATGAAGTTGTTCTTCTCAGTTAGTTTGTTCCTTTTTTTTTTACCCCGTTTTACTGTTTTCTCCAGTCGGCTCCTATTTTTTTTTTTTGCTTCTTTCCCTCCAGCTCCGCCGTACGCCTTGCAATTTTGTGTGTTTTGCCTTTTTCGCCACACGCCACGCACTGTCTGAGTTTCGTTGTTGTTGTTAGATGTATATGTAAATTCCTTGTGCTTCTGCCTCAGCAGAGCTCCAAGGAAAGGCCCATTAATGTCAAACAGCCAGCTGTGATGATGCGAGAAAGTGTTTCCTTCAGTGGCACAATTCGTTTTGTACGGCACGGCCTCCCGCCTTGCTCCATGCATCCTCATTCTTCTCTTATTTCTTGATGAGGACATATTTCATTGTTGTTGTTGTTCTTGTTCTTGATGTCGTGTCTTTATGCCTCAGCGGTCTCTTCGCCAGTTTGTGCCACCGCCGCAGCAGTGCCGGCTGCCACCTCCTCCTCCACATCATCCTCTTTCTTCGGCGCCTCTTCCGCAGTTGCCGCGGCCGCCCCTTCCTCCTTTTTCTGCTCTTCCTCATCCTCCTCCTCGTCGCTAGAGAGCTCCAGCTCGCCGGTCTTGATGTGGCTCTCGTACTCCTTCTGCTTGGCGCGAAGCTTCTCCACGGCGGTATCTATGGCAGCCAAAGCTGTTGGTGGCTCCTCATTAACGAGATGAAAGAGATGGCACTTGTCCTCCGGGTGCTGCAATACGCGAGGCTTTGCTGGGGCCTTCTCCGGCTTCGATTTCTGGGCACGCTGCATTTTATTTTTGCCTCCAGGGGCGCCTTTCTGCGGGGCCGAGATTCTTTTGCCGTCGTTCAGCAGAACAGCGCCTTCTGGAAGAAATTTGGAGGGGTCAAACGCAGCGGCGGCTTGCTTGCGGGCCAGCTCTTCCTCCTCCCGCTTCACCATTACCTTGTGCTCCTGTAGGTAGCGCACCAACGTTTTACATGCATCAATCTCCACCTCGTACGGGTTCTGACGGCGGAGCGCGCGAGACCGCTTCTCCTCAAACTTTGCAGCATTTTTGCGCTCGAGGTAGCGCCGATGCCGCTCTTTTCGCTCCTCCTCCATCTTTACAAGATACTTGGCCCGCGCCTCCTCCTTCCATGCGTTCCATGCCTCCATAGCCTTGTTATGTTCTTCACGCAGACGATTCATTTCCTCGCTTAGCTTGTTAATCTTGCTGCTAATCTCTTCACACTTCTTGTAAACCTCCGCCCGGTTCACCCCGGTGCCTCGAATCTCCTGCTCCTTCTGCTGCTTCGTTGCCCGCTGCTCGTTGTATTCGGACCTGAGGTTGCGGATGCGTTCATTAATTTCTTGCCACTCACGCTGCAGCATGGCCTCGCGGTGCTTCGCCTCTGTGATGGCTTCTGTAAGCGGCTGAAGCTCCACCAGGTACCGCTTCGCTTCCTCCAACTTGCTCAACTGCCGCACTGTGCGCTTCTCTGCGGCCAGCCCACCTCCGCGTGTCTCCATCTTGCGGGTTATAAGCGCAATCGCGTCGTCGATCTCCTTCAGTGTCGTGAACCCGCCCAAATCCTCGGATAGCTCGCGAAGGCGGCTCTGGCGCTCGTCGTGCAACTTCTGAACCCGCTGGATCTCCTCATTCTTTTTAAACCGCATCTCCTGTTCCGCCTTACGCTGAGTGTCAATGTCGCCCATGCGCTGACGCAGCTCGGCGAGCTCATTGTCCGTCGTCTCGCGTCCCTCGCGGGTCCCGAGCGACGCGCGCAGCTGCTTCACCTCCGTGAGCAGGGCCCGCTTCTCTTCCGCGAGAGCCGCCATCCTGGCGCGAAACTCGGCGGAGTTTGGCTCCTTCGGGCCACCGGGCGTCAACAGCCATGGCGGCATGCGCCTACTCGGTGCCGCAGCCTCCGCCGTGCCGCTCATGATCTTTTTCCTGGGCGAACTCCGCAAGCTTCACAGGAAACACGTCTATAATTAAATAAATAATTATTTATTTAATCCCTTAGCCTTAACTCGCTTCCCTTCTTCCCTCGCAAAGTTTCCGCGGGTGAAAAGAGAGAATACTTGAACGGCCATGTGGACGCATGCACGCCGTGTCACTCCACGTGCTCGTTTAGCGTCCCCCGTTCAAAAAAAAAAAAAAAAAGTCGCTCCCCCACCTTGGCGGCGTTCATGCATGGCGATGATAAAAGGATGGCATTAAAACACTTTTTTTCTCCTTCCTCCCATGTGCGTGTGTGGGTCCCTCTCGCCCTCTCTTTCCCTTCTACCTCCTGGGGAGTCAAGGTTATTTGTGTGCGCGATTGCTCACAGATAATATATATATATATATGTAGTATATACTTCTTTTTTCCTTGTTGCTCATCTCCACTCCTCTCCTCCCCAATTAAGTTGCACATATTCTCTCTCTCTCCCTCCTCCTCTCTCTCTCCACACACACACACACACGGGA